ATTGTTATTACAGATTTTCTTATCGAGATAAATTAGTAGAGCCAAATACTATCTGAGAAATAACTGTTATATCACTGATAACTAAGATATCAAGGATCTCTAGAATTATGGAGATCACAAAGATTTTTGTGATTCTAAAGATTTCTGAGACTTGTGTTACTAAGAACTGTGACAATCGACCAACTCGATTTTCTCTTTCACAACGTATTATATTTCTGGTTTTAGCATGACTACATCACACAGTTATCCTAATTCAATAATAGGCAAGTTCATTATTCTAATACTGGATAGGTTTTAGAAATAGATAGATTAGTGATTTTAGCAGAAGATAAGTTATAATTTCAGTAGATTGGTTGATAATTTAATAGTGGTATTTTTTTTAATAACTTCAGCGGCGAATAAGTTAGAAATCTCAACAATGAATCGTTCATAATTTAATAATGCTTGGTTCATAATTTTAATAGTAGGTGAGTTAATAAGTAATGTAGTATACTGACCAAAGTACCTGGGGTTCAATACAATCTAACAAAAAAACTTATAAAGTACCCATTGGTATCTTAATCAGTGACAGATATCTTGTATAGGGGTACTTTGTATAGTCTTATCTATATAATACAGAAATTAATGTGTTAACATAAAAAATACCATGCAAGATACCTGGGTATTATCCTCAGTTAAAAAAAAATACTATACAAAGTACCTGAGTATTTTGAGTGAGAGTATACAAAAAGGGTTACTTTGGTCAGTATGCTATAGTAATAGTTATTTCACATTTTATTTTAGATATTGTTAAATATCACAGATCAGTTGAGATATGTATATATTATTGGGCAAAAATTGTTGTATAATAGCAATTTGCACAATAATAGTATTATCTGGCAATTTATAATTATGGCCCTGATCAACTCCTGTTCTATAAATACTTTGATCTGAAAAAAAAGATAAATCAGTAAAAAAAAAGTTATTATATATTCTTTAAAGTAAAAAAAATATTTTTTTAATACATCCATATTCTTAAAAGAGTTATATAATTTAGCGCATGTGTGTTGTAACGCACTCACCTGATCGACCAATCAGATCATAAGATCAGATATAATGTGAAATAGAAAAAAATAATGATGTTTTGAAAAAATCACTTGTAACTCATAATTTTGCTTATGAAACCACCTTTTGCATTCTAACAAAAAAAATTCCTTGCAAAATTTTGGGTATAACTAGCATTTATCTAAAATCTAATCTAACTATAAATTAGTGCTAACCCTTACCCTAAATTAATGCGTCATTAGTTTGTTTTGATTTCACATTACACCAGATCTTATAGGGTGCGCAAAACGCATCCGCACAAAATAATATAATTCTTCTTAAAATATTTTCTGGTTTCTTGTATTTTTTTTTTGTCCAAAATATATTTCTTTTGTGCTAGAAGTTTAAGGTTATCAAAAGATTCTGATCTTTGAAATTTGAAGATTTATAGTTTAAAGATTGTCCATAAGAATTTGATACTGCTTAAAAGTTTCAAAAGTGTAACATATATCAGAAGTCTAATAAAAGTCTACTACAAGTCTAATAAGAGTTCACTACAAGATTACAAAGGAAAAAAATATTTAAAAGGTTTTTTATAATATCTAAATCCAAATCTGTTATTACAAAGATAAATAAAGCCAAGATAATTTTTAATTCTAATTTGTCTATATTCTAGAAGACCAATTGTCTAAGTTTATTTGTGCAATAAAGTGATGTGATAGTAGTGAATACTACACTAGCTTAGTGACTTGAATCAGTTAAACTATAATCAGTTAACTGACCTGAACCAAATAAATTTCAAGTAACCGGTTAAGGAAATTCTTAATTGGTTAACCTGGTACAACTTGCTAGCAAGATCTTAAAATGACAAAATAATGTAATAAGAAGAGAGTAAATGTTCTAAAAAGTTCTAAAAAAATAAATGAATGAACAAAAATTAGATAAAACTATAAGAATTTCTGAAGATAGAGTATTAATCTTAACTGGTTGGCAACCGGTTGAATGAAAATAATTCAGTTTGGTTAACTAATTAAGGAAAATTTTTTCAGTTTAAATCACTATACTAGCTCAATAAGAAGTTGCTTGGTAGCAATTTGGCATTACTATAATTAGCACTCTGTTATAGAGAAACAAGTCATATACTTAATCTGAAGGTGTGATTTGATTTAAATCATTATTAAAAGAAAAACTAAAAAATCTTTTAGCGAAAAACTTTGATAAAAAATGAGAACAGATAGACTAATCATAAATGAGATCAAGCAAATCCTTGACTATTCTATGATGCAATACAATACTTAGATAGATTGTTATAGTAGATTTGATTTTATTAGCATTACAAAGAATATGAACATACAATCCTTGAAATTAATAATTTTATTAAAAGATATAATGGCAGAATCAATATTAAAATGTACCAACCAGCAGGAGCTTAAAGATTATGATGTACAAGAAGAAGTAATTAGCCTGCCAAATATCAAAAAGATTATCAATAATTATAAATTTCATTTAAGTAAATATCTAGTAACTGCAGTAGCTAATTTTATTTGAAACCTTTCATGATGGGGAATACATTCTATAATTTTTAATTAAAATAAAATTTTAATTAGTATTTGTGTGCAAAATAAATTAAGCAGTTGAAATGTTACTAATAGTAATATTGTAAAAATGGTAAAATTTATTGGGCAAAATTTAGTTATTAGTTGTTACGTCATAACCATCTAAAAAATAACGTGCAAAAACTGCACCATGATCATATGTGCTTGCCGGATAATGCAAAATATCTGCACATAAAGCACATAGTTTATTGTACATATGTTCAAATCTATCTATATAAATTTGATTAAATTATAAAATTATAGTGCACATATTTTAAAATTATTCACATTAATTGTATATGCATTATGCACAAGGTTTACTTATTGCTGGGATTTTATACACTGCCTTTACAATACTTTGGATTACTGAAGATTACATTTTTTGAAAACAATTATTTAGTAAATCCCTCCTAAAAAACAGAATAAAACCAAAAGATTAAAAAGAGAAAAAATTTAGAGTATATGTGTAGAAGAAAAGGTGTCACCCGGGTTATCCGGATGATCGACTAGTATACTGTATTCGGGTATAAAAATTTATCTGATAAACATTCAAGTAATTGGCTAATTTATTTTATGAGTGTAAGAAAGATACTCAAATAAAATAAAGATCAATAAGAGGTAAGTATGTAATATTTTATTAAGCTTTTTACTTAGCGTTATAAATATCAACCATGATACAGTATTATTAACAGAAATCTGAAACTTCCACTATGATTTTAGACTTTCAGTATTTCATCAAAAAGAATAATCTCATGAACCTTTCTATCTGTAACCATATAGATCTGCCTAAAGTTCCGATAAGCTGGTTTATAAGCTGAAAATAGTAAAAAAATTTGTCCGGATATGAGCGATACTTTATACAGTGTGTGACTGCATAAGGTAAAATAATTGGTATTTCTTTAACTATTTAAAATGTATTCAAGAATTGTTTTTTAATTTCATCTAAATCGTTTCAAATGTAAGCGAAATATCAAAGAACTTCCAACCTACAATATTTAGGAATGCTAATCAATAATATTCAAGAAGAACGGCCAATTATTAACAGATAATACTAGACAACTCATAGTACTCAAGAATTGGTAAGCTATACATTTTTGAATGTTAATAAAACAAATCGGCGGATTTTTAAAGAACTCTAAAAATATAGAGTATTAGCCGATTGGTTGGTGTGGGACATTCACTAGCCTCATTGTAATAGATTATACTATAATATCTATGAATATGATATACATTAGCGTTAGAATAAATTTAGCTACGTAAGTACGTACATATGAAAAAAAGTAATCAGTTGGACGTGAGTTTTTACGAATAATACAGATATAAATCAATTAATGACGCGCAACAAGTACACGCTTACAACATTAGTAATAATAATATCCCGTCTATTTATTAGTATTATTAACTTTTCATTATAACATATTATAAGTTGCTATAATAACTATAACATTTTCCTGCTGAAAGTTTAAAACTACAGTAACAAACTAATATCTAAGTCACCAGCCCTATAAAACGTTGCCATTTTATTACTAGTTTATAAGTAAGATCATTTTTATTTATTAATTAGGTTTTAAACAACTATTAAAATTATTAATTAGGTTTTAAACAACTATTAAAATTAAGTTCCAATAGTTAGCGTAATGGTCTTTAATATTGTCACACTGATTAAGTCTCACAATAATAATTTACGCAATGTTAGAGTTACCGATTTCTTACATTTCGTCTCTGTACAAGCAACGATTTCTTCGTACACATTATCCGCTAAGGTACAGTACACAGTTATTGATGCAATTTGTATAGCTACCGTCATTGTCTTGTGACTTAAATGCAAATTTTACAAACAACGTATTCTATCCAACAAGTTTCACAAGATTAAAATTTGACATAAATAAAATGTTAAAAACTTTTACTAAAATGCACCTATGGTGTTTTACACCCATGAATACATTATCTTAAAAAAAACCTGCAATTATTCGTATATATGTTCTAAGTAAAAATGCTCTATGTCAAAAAAACATTTCCAAACCTTAATCCTAATCCTAAATACTAACCCTAATGTAAAATTTTTTGTTTAAAAATTTTATAAACAAAACTTATAAAAACTTAAAAAAATGATCAAAATATATATGTAATAGGTGTAAAACACCATAGGTGTGTTTTGTAATAACTGAATATTAAATATAGAAATCAATAATAGTGAATACAAAATAGGGAATAAAATAAATGACGAAATAAAAAAAGACAGTTGAAATAAAAACAGTATACACATAATGCTATAAGTAATTTTTCGAGTCTGTTAAAAACAATCATATATGTCTTGATCCCTAACGTTTGTAACACTAAATGTATTTTCAATCTTAATACCTTCTATAGAAAGAATTGGCTCTAAATAATTAAGTAACTTCCGTCTTGAAGATTGCCGGGCACGTATTGCACCATCCCTATAATGAGGTGAGCGAATTGATGGGTTATCTACGTGTATGTGTTTACAATTCTTAATTAATTCAGCAGCACTTTTGTTTTTACATTCCCCGAGTAGCTTTTTAATGTCTTGGTCGCATGCATTTTTATTTTCAAACTGGTCAAAATTTGTACTAACTAAAGCAATATGTTTATATATGGAGTTTGACCCATATATTTTGAAAAGGGTGTTAACTTTTTCTAAAGCTTTTAACTGATACTCTTCAAAACGGTCTTTGTAAACAAAAAATATCTGTATAATATTGTGATTTCTAACTATTTCAAGTAGTTCCAGAAAAAGTGACATTTTTTCATCATTTGATAATTTAGCAGTATCACCTATTCCGACTGTATCAATTACACGATATTTATTTCCTTTCCACTCAAAGATTTCATTTTGTACTCTTTTTGTTCCACTTGTACTCCCAGCTACTTCAGCAAATTTATTATTATCTGATAGAACATTTGCTAAAGTTGATTTACCACTGCCTGTTCTCCCCACAATAATAATACTTTGGATATCATCAATCTTTTCTTTATTAGAAACAGCAACTCCGATGGGCTTACGGCGCATATAATCAACAATAAGTGAAGCAATTTTAGCAATTCCAATAATTCCTACAAATAACAAAATTGCTAAGGTTATTCTAATATCTTGCATTGTGAAATTGAAGCAGTAATTATGTTTGAGCGAGGAAGAAATTCTGCACTATAAATTATTTTAACCATTGAGTCTAGTAGCATTTATATGGTATTTATGATTACGCAAATGAATTCAAAATTAACCTGATGCATGACGATAGTTATGCTAAGGTTATTTTCACATGCTAAGCTAAGCACATGAATACATTTATGGAACTATTGTTGCTATTTAAAGTTAGAAAGAAAATAAGAAAGGAAAAGATACGTATAATGATAAGGAGAAAGATTGTAAATCGATAGTGCCTTTTTCTTTCGCTGCCCGAATTGGGTCTGGATCTTTTGTAGTGTTCCTGCCCACTCCCCCAAGAAAGAAGAATGAGAGAAGGGTACTCAGGAACTTGCTTGCTTGTGGATAGTCTCGTTCAGCGACTTGCTCCATGATGCTGATCTGATGTCAGATGATAAAAACAAATCAAAGAGAGAAAAAAAAATTGAATGAAAATGAATTGGAATGCTCGGGGACTTGCTTGCTGACTTGCGATAATCTTGCTCATCCACTTACTCTGCTCATCTAATGTTAAGTGATAAGAATGAGTCATTGAGAAGAGAGAAAAGAAAAAATGAGATTGAGATTTGAGGTGCTCGGGAAATTGCTTGCTGACTTGTGGGTGATTTGGCTCAGCGATTTGCTCCACGACGCTCATTTGATTGAAATGATAATAATGAGTCAATGAGAAAAAGAGAAGAAAATATGAGATTGAGAATTAACGTACTTGCTGACTTGTAGGTAATCTTGCACAGCAACTTGCTCCACAATGCTCGTCTAATGCTTGTGTAAGAGAAAAAAAAAAGGGAATAAGAATGTTGTAAAAAGATGGGAAATGAGAATGTTGTGAGAAAATGAGAACGTTGTAAGAAAATAAGAATATTATGCGAAAATAGGAATGTTATAAGATGCTCGGGGACATGCTTGCTGATTTGCGGGTGGTCTTGCTCAGCAACTTGCTCTGTGACGCCCATATGATGGTTAGTATTGTGATATGTAATTATTTCCTTGGAAGAAAACTATAGGAAAAAAAATTAATGTCATAGTATGTTGTGCACATGCCGATTCTCTTCTTTTTTGCTACATGATTAGCATTCCTGTAAAGTATAAATTTAAATAATGGTGCATGTAAAGTCAGAGCCGCAGCGCGGCACAACTACCAGCGTGTAATTCCATTAATCAATAAATTTGTTAAATTGTGTTAAATTGATCCGAGCGAGAATAATAGTATGTACGTGCCGTACCGTACTGTGTAGATCAAATCTATACGTAGCACCATGTAGTGTTGTTAGGCAAAACCTAGAGGTTTTGCCATTGGCAAAAGTCAAATCGAATTTCGACTTTTGCCAAAAAAAAATTAAAAACTGAAAAAACAATAAAATCAGTAAAAATAAAAAAAAACTAGTGAATAGAAAAGTAATTAAAAAATTTAAAATCTTTTTATCTAATTATCAATCTTTTGATTAATATTACTACCTAGATAACCTACCTACAGATGCCCAGATTGGATTTTAGAATAGATATAATTACTACTTCTAGCATAGACTTTTACCGAGTGCGGTCAAAATCCCGACAAGCACAATCCCGACAGGTCATAATCCCGACAAAAAAATCCCGATAGTCAAATCCCAACAATCAAAAACCGAAATATGTGGTATGTTTAAAGCAAAGTAGCCTCTTATAATTTAATTAACTTTAGAGTTAGGTCACTTTAGATAAGAATTAGACTATAGTTAGCTTATTTTCATCAGAATTTTAATTGTCGGGATTTTTAACTAAGTTTTTTGGCTGTCGGGATTTTTTTGTCAGTATTATCCTGTTGGGATTTCGCTTGTCGGGATTTTGGCCCATAGCCTTTTTACCCAACCTAATATTTAATTTTAACCTAACACAAATTTATTTTGTCACGTATATTTGTATAATCATGCTGCATACGATGTTTTTTTGATTAATAATCTAAATTTTACTATATTTGATCTATTATAAGTCAATAATACAACAATTATTTCCTTAAAGTTAGCTCTGAGATTTAGAATATAGCATCGGGAAATAATTTTCAATAATAAAAATGTTAACAAATTACTTAAATATGTATAATATTTAATTAAAATTTTAACAAAATGTTAAAAGGAAAAACCTTAACACTATAACAATAAATTTGTTTAAATATTTAGATAAATTTATTTTACATGAATAATATTAATAAATAGATAGCGCTACTAAAAGAAAATAGGATTTCATGCTTTGAATTTTCAAGGCTGAATTTATTTATTATAAGTTCAAAAGCCTGAAGTCTAGTTTTTTTTTAATAGTACTCGAATGCAAACAAAAGGCTATCGCTTTGTTTATTGCTTTTGTATATTATAAGTCACATGTTGTGCCTAATAGTCATATGTAAAATATTTTAATTTACCAACATGGCTCAATCTTTCTAAAGTCTTAGAGGATTTGATCTTCGCTGTGTTTGACTTTCTCCAGGGGTTTGGCTTTACCAGGGGTTTTGCCAGAGTTTCGCCGTTTTGCCATAGTTTCGCCGTTTCGCCAGAATTTTCCAATTTTGACTTTTGACGGGTTTAGTTTCGACTTTTGCCATTTGCCAAAAATAGTTTTGCCTAACAACAGTAGTCCCATGCAAAAATCAAATAGTTTTTTTTTCATTTACGATGATCTATATGTAGTAAAATGCTACGTTTAAATTTTAACGAAACATTATTAATATTATTAAAAATTCTTAAAATTAATAAAAAAAAACGCTCCGTTAGTTTAAAATACAGGTTCTATTGAGCTATCAAGCACATTTCTTAAGCTAGTTAATATATAATTTACAGAGGAAATACAATTTGAAATTTGATTGTTTCATAAAAGATTTTGAAATTTCAAATTGTATCTCTCCTGTATATTATATGTTAGCTAGTTTAAAAATTTTGCTCAATTTCTTAGCAGAACCTATACTTTAAACTAATTTAGCGTTATGTTTCTCATCTTATTAAGTTTACACAGTGTATGTCATCGATAATGAAGTTTAATAAAATTTCAGAAAACATTTTAAATGATTCGATCGATACAAAATTATCTATTGATGTTCCAGACAAATTTTGCCGGTGAATTATTGATAAACACTGACATTGATTTAGTAATAAATCCATGGGATAGGTGCCGTTGAAATAGTAGGTGTACCAATTGAGAATGAAAATAATTAAGCACAACAAAAAAAAGCACAAGTGTACAAGTCAACGGGTTGCAGACTTTATTTAGAGTGTTTTTATGATGTGACAGTTAATGATGACATTTCGTAGAGAACAAATGACGAATGATGAAATTCAAAATAAATGATGAATGATAAATTTTATATGTAATATATAGTATTTAGGCGTACTAAATGTAAAAAAAAAATAATGTAAAAAAAAAACGCGATTTTTTCTTAGGATTCATTGAAAAGTTAATGTCTGCATAACGACGATAAGCTTTTCGGTAATTAGCTTCGGGTTCAATCTAATGTGAAGTAAAATTAATTTTTATATGAATCCATTAACTTTTATTGTGTTGACTTTTTTATAACGAACTGACTATTTGATAGAAAAAAGTTCGTTGTCAAAAAATTGTGTTTATATGTACTGACAAAACTCATAACTAATTTTAAAATTCAGTGTTGGCAAATAGAACAATAGAACAAAAGCTTAATTTTTTGTCTTTATATAAAATTTTTTTTTTATTAATAATTTGCAATTATTTAAACATATATTGTTAGAGCATTAGTAAAATAATAAATTTAAAATATTTTTATATTTAATTAGTAAAATTTAATACTCAAAATTTACAATAGAAAAATAAAAAAATGAATAGAATTATAAGCCAATAGAAAAACATATAAACGTGACAACTCTGGTTAAATTAATTTCACCAATGATTTCGCCAATCATGCGATAGCAAAGAGAAAATAGCCTCTCACTAATGAACAGCTTTTAAGTATGCTGATTATAAAATACGGTTTCTTTGTCATTTTAACAAGCTCTTCATTACAATTTGTTTTTTTTTTTTTTTTTTTTTTTAAAAAAAAAAAAACCGGTAATGGATTTAAAAAAAACCCCGGTAATGGATTTAAAAAAAACCCCGGTAATCGACTAGAAAGAAGTAGAAATTTGCATACGAGATTATTATACGTATTCCCAATTTTAGGGTCGTGTCCAATTACATATTGATATACATATTGCATAAATCGCATCAAGATAGTAACTTCTAACCGGACATGGCTTTAGCCATCCCAATTTTAGACACAATTGAAAAATCAAATCTGCACTCACGCCTTTACACAATGCAAGGTTGTGTGGAATAACATCATTAAATTACGTATAAGATAGCTGCGCAGCACGCGGTGCCGCGCAAGACCAGTACGATCAGTATCAGTAAAGTTTATGCATATGCATGTGAGTACTCAGGTATATACAGGATTGAGTTATGGT